CCCCAAAACCCCAAAACCCCAAAACCCCAAAACCCCTCCAGATAAAATTTATATTGAAATCTTACTTACGATAAGTATCCACATTTGGTTTGTATTCATATGAAGATTCCAAAAATCACACCTGAATATCTTACGGTTGCTATTTAACGCCTTATTCTCTTTGAAAGAGGTATTGAACAGTTTTGTAGATAACTGGATCTTCCTCTTATCAGTCTTGTACACCTTGAGAATCTTTATTTCCCCACTCCGATTAATTCTCTCTTTCTTAATGCGTCTTGATTTCTCACCAGCTTGCTCATATTTCTCAATAAGGTTCTTTTGGCATGTAAAATTGAGAGCAAATCTATTTTCAGATTTGACCCTCTCTTTTTCTTATTCTGATTGATAAATCTGAGCTTTTGAGTCATCTTCTCATTAAGGTTGTCTATCTTCGCCTATGAGATCATAGCTTTAAAGATTTGTTTCTCACCGTTGCTGAATTTATGAAAAAATTCAAGGTTATTTCTCATGTTGCTCCTTCCCTAATGATTTCAGTAATTTGCCAAGTTTCCGGATTTTAAGGATCTCCTTACGTCTCTGTTCATTAGCCTGAGATTGGATCAGCTTCAGATTTATGGCAGGCTTATTTGGAGAATTGTGTTTGAAGTATCTCGAATACAAACTTCGCATCATCTCTATGGTCTTATGCTCACTATTGTTAGGCATTAAAGTTTCTGATTGATCTTTGTTACAAATAGACCGTAATGGAGATGAAGCATCCGATAATTTCCTATTATGAAGCCAAGCAGCAACCTTTGTATAGATTTATTGTAGCTATTCCAAAAGCATTAAATTTTGCAATATGAATATTAGCTGGGCCATGCTTTTTATTCTGTGATCTCACAACTGTATTAGCCAGCTTTCTTGTATTCGCTGAGAACTAGAGAAGTCAAGATTCAATAAGTTACCTAAGATTTTAAGATATTAATTTCTTCCTTCGTGTTTGTCATTATCGAATCATTCTCTACAATTATGAATTCATCCATACCTCCAACCTTGTCTTTCTTAGTTTTCACACTAATCTTAATGAATGGATCATTTGAGATTGCTGCCTTATCTTCAGCAGCAAGAATCAAACCATAGTGGCTAAGGAAGATCTTGTTTCAGATTCCTAATGTTGCTAAAAAGTTGGCTATTTATATTGCTACATCCGTTAGTTTTAAAAGCACTCCAGAGTAGTCGCAGTTTCATCAAAATAAAAGGTTCATTCATCATTTCATTTGTGTATAAAGATACAAATTTCTTAGAAGTTATCTTATAAGTTAAGAGAGCTAGTATAAGAGCTCTCCGCTTAACTTCCTGAGTGCTTTCATACTCTCATCTTAAGAACCTTATTGAAGGATCCTCTCCTTTGAGACTATTTATGCTATTTGCCAAAGTTATGGGCATTTTAGTGTTATGTAGTAGAGTCATGAAGTCAGAATTATCCAGAGCTCCTTCCATATCCGTATTCAAAGTTATTGTGGAATCTAGCTGTGCCCATTTAGGTAATATTTGTGTTTTAAACCTCTAATTGGTATGCCAGAGCTTGTGAAATTTGTGAATTAGATAGATCTCATAGTTTGGAGTAAAATCAAAGTTGATCATTAGTTCAGGAAATATCAGCCCTGACTGGACCTCATTCGTTATTTTAGAGAGGTTGAGGTACAAACTTTCTCCAATGTAGAGACATTTAGTATGAATTTGGTTTAAATAACCTCGGATATTAGCAATAGCTTAGATTTTTCTCTTAATCTTGAACCATTGCCATCATTTTTGAATAAATATAACAGCTCATATTTTGACAATATTGTCAATGAGATCAAGTCCATCTTGAGCATAGATTTTCTTGCGTAACAGATAGCCACGAAATACAGTCTGTATCTTAATAGCAGATGCAACCCTGTGACATTGGACTGGCATGAAAACAACGAGTGGTTCATTTCCACTGCATGAAGATTTGTTGAAAAGCCATGCATGATACAGAAACCTTTTGAGTACCTCTATATCTCCAGGTTGAAACTCTAGAAGATCTTTACAGCCACCATTAAGTGTTCCATGATTCCCTTAATGAGCATGTACCATCTGCTCATATCTTTGTAAGCCCCATTTCGGGTGAGCACACAACTGGGGCTTTAATGCTTTGATAGCTCCGTTAGTATGTTCTGACCTCTTTTTTGACAGCCCATATTTTGGAATATGCTTACACTTTTTGAAAAATCTTTCTTTTGCTTTAAATAAGCTATTTTTGAGTAGTAAACAAGCATTAAGAAGTTGATCAGAGGGATCCTTGACTGACAAACTTTGTGAGTGGGATATCAAATCCTCAAAGCATTAAATTCTGTTGACTCATAAAGCATCTCTTGATATTCGCTAAGTTTAAACTGCTTTCCCATCTTCTGAACAATGGTTTGTAAAATTGGGAAAATAGCTTCTTTGCTGTTTAAGAATCAATATTTTAGGATATTGATTGATATGAAAATAGCCAAGATAGGCTAAAGTTCTGGACTTTCCTCCTCTGAAAATTTTCTGCATCTTGATAGCATGTTCTTGATACAGTTTTTCTCCCTAATTCTCTTCAAACGAAATTGGACTGCTTTAAATATTTTAGCTTTAGCCACACTTTTCTTAACTTGATGCTTAGTCAAGGTTAGATGGGCTAGCCCTTCTTGTCTCATAATGTGATAAAGTTCGAGTTTTAGTTTCCCTCAAAGGAGTCACCCTCGAATAGATTTCTGGATTTGTATAATGTTCTTTTTCTTTGTAGTAAAATAATTACTTATAAGTTGTTCTAGCTCTAAAACCTCTGAACAAACTTTGAATCCTTATTGAAGGAGAATTGAGTTCATTAATCCTTTTAAACCTGTAAATGTCTACTTCAAGATTGAATAAGTGCATTTCATCAGTGATATTTGGAATAAACTCCGGAATGCAAATATTAATGTACTTGTTCATTGCTCGAAACCTGGCTCAAAATGAAACATCCTCAGTCTGTTCTTCGTCTGTAATCACTCAATAATCGAGAGTGAGCAGCGAAGGAATTCAGTTTACCATGTAATGTCTGTACCCTGGAACTGTAGCTACTTTGTTACTGTATAGAGTTAGATGAATCACTTTTGGGAGTCCTGTAAGTTTCTATAAATCTTCCCATAGAGAAACTTTGTTGCAATGTAGAAATAATATTTTCAAGCTAACCAATTCTTCAAAGCAATCCGTGTCTGGTAAATGCTTTAGATAATTATGAGATAGGTTCAGCTTCAGTAAGTTTCTAAATGATCGAAACATTTCTCGTACCAATTTCTTTGTCACTAAGAAAGTTACCTTGACAGTAAGCAATTTTTAAATTTTTACAATTACTCAATACCTTTAAATACGATAGGGGTTTTGGGGTTTTGGGGTTTTGGGG